GCCTCATCTACTTGCTACTGGGAGCTCTGGTGGTATAGTACCTAAGGCATTTGACTGCTCACCAGAAGGCTAGTGGTTCAAACCCACCAGCCACTCCTCGCAAGGAAGACTGGGCAATCTACTTCTGTAGATTTGAGAGTTTCTAGCCTCAGAAACCCAAGGTGGCGTTGCTATGAGTCGGAATGGACTCAATGGCAGTAAGTTTGGTTTTTTTGTTTTGTTTACTTACTAGTGGAGTCATCTTTGGTCATTAGGCCTCAACTACTTACTATCTGGACACCCTAAGATGGGGAATCCCCAGTGTCCCAAACGGATCACCAGAGACAATTTCAAACAAGTACTTCCAAATAGGAGCCGAGTGGTGAAGGCATCTCGGTGAAAACCAGACAGACTCCTCAAGTGTCCAGCTAAGATGTTTTTGTTCTTAGTTGTTTTACCGAAATGCTCTCTCTCTCGCTTTCATACTCTCCTCAGATGTGGATTGGTAAGTGGTGGGAGGAAATTGCTGATTCCATTGCCAGCCCCACAGCTAAGCTACATTATACAGGTGAAATCGGGTTAAGAAAGAGGTTTGGTTTCCTTGGTGACCCTGGAGGCTCGGATATATCTGAAATTGCTAAGGAGAAAAACCTGATAACGCAAGTCTGTGTTTTCCTTGGGTAGGGAGCCCTTCCCACTCCTCAGCCAAGGCTAGGGACGCGCCTCCCTCGTTGACTGAGGTTGACCTCTGGCAAGCAGGATGAGTGACACTGTCTGCCTGCTCCCAGGAGCCCACAGCCCAGTTTGGCGAGTCTGTGCCAGCTCTGAGTAATCACTTCACGGTTCCTCAGGTGCCTGGGCCTCCCTATTTGTTTTGTTTTTGCATGTAAATGCTGTAACTAGGGTGACGAATACTTAGCTTATTGTAGAATGTGCTAACCACTTTTCTTCAGGCAATAACAAGGGCATGTTATTTTACAACCAGGAGGTGGACCCAGTTTAACTCCTTAATGTCTCCTTTCTTGATAGCTGGCTGTCAGAATTAAGCACTAATGTCATTTGTTGAGCAAAGACTGTGTGCCAAGCACGGTGCTAAATACGTTACCAATATTATCTCATTTCAAGGGGCTCTAGTGGCACAATGGTTAAGTGCTCAACTGCTAACTGAAAGATGGGTGCTTTGAAGCTCCCCGGCTACCCTGGGGAGAAAGATGAGGCAGCCTGTGTCTGTAACGATTTATCCCCTTGGCAACCCTTTGGGGGCAGTTCTACTCTGTCCTATAGGGTCGCTAACATTTAGAGTCAACTGGGTGGCTATAGGTTATAGGTTTTTCTCTCATTTCGTTTCCATGACAATGTGATGAGGTTCTTTCTATCATTGTTCCTATTTTACAGATGCTCAGAGAGTTCAAGTGGCTTTCTTGTGGTCACACAGCTTGAAAGTGGCGGGTCTGGATTTTTAGAAAAGGACGGCTGCTTATCACAGACTCACTGTGCATTCTGGATCCCCGCATACGCCCGTGAGAGAAGGTGGATGAGAATTCCTGCTCCCCGCAGTTACCTGATACTCAGAGTCCACCTTATGCTGCATGTCCCGCAGATACTGCACATCACTGATGAACTTCTGCCTCTCCTTTGCTTCATGCAACATGATTCTTAATCCCCAACCTGCATATGCAAGATAAATAAATGTGTTGTGATATAAACGTTTGCTGCTTTGCCATCTTTGGATTTATCTTCATATAATTGCTTCCCCCACCCTTCCCCCACATTAATCTAATTTCTATTGTTTGAAAGCACAGATGCTCCTCTCAGATGGAAGGGATGCCTCATGTTGGTGTCAATGCCCGTACGCCCAGCCCTCCTGTTCCAGGCATAAATAATGCAGCCACACTCATCAGGTGGTTTCAGTGATCTTGTCCTTATGACATAAGGAGATAGGATGATACCTGATAGAGAAGCAGTTCTACAAAAAGAAAATCTGAGAACCTACCGAAATTAGCAATGATCAAAGTTATAACACTTGGTTATGTAAATTGATTTAGTCAACAACTATTGCATCCCAATTCCAACCCAGGCACTTGCCTAGGCACTGGGGCATAGCAGTCAGCAAGCTAGACGTGGCCCCCGCCCTTGTGTTGCTTAAGGTCAAGGGCGGAAGACCGACACTGTTTACATGAACCCTCACTGTGATAAATGCTATGGACCAGAAGCACGGGCTTCTTTGACAGAGGGTTATAATGGGAGGGTATAACCTCGACTCGAAGGGTCTGGCAAAGTTTTCCTTAGGAAATAACACTGAGTTTGATAAGGAGTGAGCTAGGCAATCCCTCATGGTTAAGACAGCATCTCAGAGAGGACAGCAGGGGCAGAGGCTTCAGGGCAGGAAAGCGCTGGTGCAATGAGCGACAGGCGGGCCAGCGCAGCCTGAGCCCAGGGAGGGGGGAGACCAGCACGGGAAGGGCTGGACGATGGCCAGGAGCCAAAGTCATGATTGTAAGAGGCACCCGAAGCCACAGAAAGCTTCCAATCTGTCATAGTTAAAGTTGTGTGTCACTTTGGCTGGGCCTGGTTTTGAATGGCTGGGCAGGTGGATGTAGTTATTACCTGTGGTGAGACTAGTCATCAACTCCATGGTGGAATCTATTGTGAGCAGCTGAGCGGCTGCCTTGGGGCTGTGGTCTGCTTCCAGTATATAAGAAGGAGCTTTGAGAACGGTCTCTAAGCTTTTCAGCATGCTTGGACCCTAATACAGCCAAGTCTTCATTCAGCAGCCTGCCATGTTGTCTGCCAACCTCGGAACTGTCTCTGGACTTGAAGTGGTGGCCTGTCATGTTGCTTCATAATCTTGGGACTGTGCCATCTTTCAATCCTGGGTTTGTCAGCCTCAGCTGACAGCTGCTGCCTGAATTAAGAGACGCCTCCAGCTCCAGTGGGCCGGGAGCAAGAAGCAGAGCTAAAGCCTAAGGCTGAGGGGCCTTCACCTGGCCCCTGGAGCCAGCACCTTGACCTCGGACTTTCAGCCTCCTAAACTGTAAGAGAATAAATCCCCATTTGTTCCAGCTACCTACCTGTGGTATTCCTGTTAGAGCGGCACTAGAGGACCCAAAACAGGATCAAATGCTTAGGTTCGTGTTGTTATGGAGAATGGGTGAGAAGAAGTGGGAAGGCCATTGGGAATACCTTCTAGTGAGCCAGATGAGAGAAAATGGATAGCAAGAGAGGAGAAAAGAAGAGGAGGAGGAAGAGAAGATCCTAGCTACGGTTTACTGAGTCTACGGAAGTGTCAGGTGCTAGTCCCAGCATTTATACATATTAACTCATTTACTTTACACAACTCCTCTGTTGAGGCACTTGATCCTATGATCTGCTTTACAGATGAGGTTACAGAGCCAGTAAGTGGAAGAGTGGGATGTGAACTCAGAGACTCTCACGCCAGCACCCACACTCTTAACCATGATGGATTTTAGGGATAAGAAGAGAGAAAATTATCAGGACTTGGTGATCCTAAGGATAGGGAGGAAGAGGAAAGCATGGAAGAAGATGCCCAAGTTACTGGCCAAGCAGCCACCTCATCAGAACCAACATTCCTTTAGGTGAATGTTGAAGGAGGAGCTGGTTTGTGAGAAAAATAACATGGAGCTCGACGTGTCTGGGTTACAACAAATGGAGATGCCAAGTAAGCAGTTAGATGCCAGGTTCTGGAGCTTATCAGAGGCCTAAAGACTGGGGCATCACTGGCATCTTGACAGCTGTAGGTGTGAAGGAGCCGACCTGGACAGAATGGGCACTGGGCAGAGAAGAGGACCTGGGACAAAACTCTGAGGAACACTACAACTTTAGAACGGGTAGCTGAGGAGAAACCCTGCAAAGAAGCCTGAAAAGGAAAATCCAGAGACGCAGGAGGTCAACCAGGTGGGTGCCTTTCGTAGATCTGAAAAGTGTGTTTTGAGAAGGAGGTTACTAATAACCTTAGTGAGAGCATTTAATGGACAGATTGCAATGGGTTCCGTAAATGGGAAATGAAGTAAATACAGTGCTTTCAAGAAGTTTGACTCTAATGAGTGAGGCCTATTTTTATGACCAAATTATTTAAGTTCCAAAACGTTTTACATGGCGCTGTTAATAAGGAGATTGCTAGGTCCCACACTATTTCTGCTTATTGCCTTGTGAAACTTTCATTTCAACATATCATTTTTTAATGACTACTGGGTGGCAGGTGCTGCTCTAGCCTCTGGGGAAGCAAACAGACAACAATGTCCCTGCCTTAGGGTGTATGCATTCTGGGGCTTTCTTTCCCTCCTCCCATTTACTTGGTTGTGTAGATACTGGCAGGTTTAGGTTGCCCCTGACAGGAAGTGGGAAATCGAAATGGCGGTGATTCAGTGTCTGGACTGCTAGTTAAACAACCTTGTGAGATTCATTGTCTGGCCCCCGAATAATAGGGGAAACTTGTGCTAGGTCCTCGAGTTATTTTCTCTCTAGCATAGAAAGTTGGTCATTAAGAGTTATAATCTGAAACTATGGTGCTAAACAACAGTTAACAGAAAAGTTGACAGTTCCAACCCATCCGGCCACTCCATGGGAGAGAGACCTGGCAATGTGTTTCTGTAAAGATTACATCCTAGAAAACCCTCTGTGGCAGTTCCACTCTATCACAAGGGGTCACTACAAGTCTGAGTTGACTCTATGGCATCGAACAACATTCTAATACAAATATCCATTATGTGGTTCCATAGTCTTTAGGCAAAACCTAAATTTTGTCTCTGAGCATTTTAACAGTTATTTATGGGATTACATGTTAAAAGATCATTTTTTAATTTTAATGTAAATTTGCATCTGCATAGAATCAAATTATGTTCCCACCCTTTCCAGAAAACAGTGTTGTTGAAACAGGCAGAGAGATGAACCCTTGCTGCTATTGTTGGAAAGAGAGGCCTGTCTGAATATTAATCAGGCAGAGAACATAAGGAACATAATGGAAATATGTTAATGGTCACTAAATGGGCACATCCCAGAGTCTAGTTGGATGATACATTTTGGTCACAAAATTAACACAGAAGCCAGCTAATCTATCATGGCTTTATTGTGGTGCTATTTTAAGGACTATTTTAAGGAGGCTTCTAAGTCAAGAGGCATGAAATAACTTTGTCTAAATAGGTAGGATATAACACTATTTGAATTACTTGCTAGGTTACTTCTGACTTCACAATCACCTACCACATAAAGGCCTTTAAATTGCCCGCCCCCTGCAAAGCACACACACACACACACAGTCTCTTTACTCTCCTATGAATTCTCTATTACATTGTATTTTACCATAAAATATTTAGAAGCTTTGCGGTACCACATATAATTTCTTATTTAAATACTACATTAATACATTTTGAGATTAAACAAATGTTCCAGGAATTAAGGAAACAGATTATTGGAAACAGGTTAAGGAGTTGGTAGGTCAACCATAGTCTGAGCAACTACTCACTGCGTTTGTGAAGTACCACTTGAACTTTATACCTCCCTGAAAATTGACAAAAAAAAAAAAAACTGACCGGGATGAACAAGAAACAGAAATAACAGTATGGAAATAAATCCATGAGCTCATGCTTAATTCATAGATCCCAGCTTTGTGGGCCTACTCAACCACATGGCCATTTGAGGCCAAAAAAATTTTCCTTGGCAAATAGAGACAGGTGGACGTTGGGGGTGGGGGAAGATGATAATACAATGTGGGCAAGGCCCATGTTTCTAAAACAATAGCATTCAGTGTTCTCTATCTATTGTTCACATTCAAACTGCTCAATTTAAAATCCATTTGTTGTCATGTACACTTTTAAGTCTCTGATGATGATAACGTACCGAATTTGTGCCTTAGACTTCGACATAAGAAGCCCTATTAAATAAGGGGAAAAGGAGAGGAGGTATGTGGGAAAGAAGGAAGAGCACTGCTTTGCTGAAAGCAAGAGCAAGTTATTCTTTTGGCCTCAAAATTCTACCTATCTGTGAAATTTCAATGAGGAATATCCTAAGAGCTTTGTGACATACACAGTCCTCTCTAGTATCCATTCCCAGCGAGTCAAACAGCGGTTCCCTGACTAGGGAGAATAGCATCTGATTGCAGAATATATGTCTTTCAGTCGTCTAAAACATCATACACCTAGGTTGTCCTTCTGTTTTATGACCATATTTGTCAAAATAATTTATTTGAGGGGATTTCTTTTTAATAACAATTGAGATAGCTGCTTTTTTTTCTTCTGTTCTCATATTAGAAATATCATTAAAGAAAACTTTAATGGTTCAACAATATAGGAAAATGTAAATGTAAGCCCCTCTTGAAGATGACGGTTCCTTTGAAACAGAATTTAAATGGCTATATTAATACCTGACACAATAGATGTTCCCTTTTGCACAAATGGATGCCTGGAAGGATTTCAGGAGACTTTAGCAATCTTTCCCACAGTTAATTTGTAATAAGAAAAATGAGAGGATTTTAAAAAATCTTACTTTCATAAAAACGTCTGCGTATAAGCAGCAAAGTCTAGAGAGTTACATCCAATTTTCCTACCAATCTGTATGCTAAGCAAGTAATCGGAGAAGCTGGATGGATTATGTGAGGAAGAATGCAACATCGGGCTTGAAGGAAAACTCATTAAC